GTCTCAGTCTCTCCGTGTCCGGCTTTGCACCCCCCCCCCACTCCCACCATCTGCTGCCATTCACAGTCCCTCTTCAAATTACAGTGCCATCCATCTGCCCCATCTACAGCTCCCTGTCCAAACGGAGCCTCTGTCTCCCCATCCCGTCCTCGCTGTCCCCCCTTGCCTCTGCGGCTCCCTGTCATGGCCCTGTCCACCGCACCGTGGGACAGTCCCTTTATCCCATTGACCGGCACGTCCGCTGGCCTTGCTGCGCCATTCACCGAACTGTATCACAGCCCGGGAGGCATCGTGATCAGTACCAAGAGGGACTCTGGGAGCTTTGGGGGGGTTTAAAAGAGGAAAAGCAAGTACCACACACTGCTAGTGGAAGAAAGATGACACAGAATAGGATGGGTATGAATGAGGGGTGGAAATTACACCCACAGCTCAGCTGAACATGACATCCGGTTATCAGCCAGCGAGCCAGCGAGGATCAGAGAGCCGGTCCTCCATAGCCCTGGCACTGTGCGCTGACCCCATCCCCCTGGAACGGACAAACCCACATTCCAGCGACTGTGAAAAAGGGCACCACACAAATGAACGGCTCCTCCAGCATTGGATTCATTGGCAGAGAGCCTGAGTAGATCATCGCCACCCGTGTCAGCTGTAAGCGTGTGACAGAGAGCGGCACAATGCCACCCTTCCAAAAAGACGTTCCGGGGAGCCCGACGCTGAGGCTCGAACGCTGTGCCGATCTCTGACCCGCCCCGGGTTAACAACCCACGGCTGTTTGTTCCTATTCAGACGTGGTGGCATTTTTAACACCGCCCGTAAATATGACTGGGTGGGGGCTGTCACGCCGGCCGCTAAATCACACAGGCAGGGCCACGACACTGCACATTCCTAACCCCCCCTACCCCCTCCTGGGCTGCGATGCTTGCCCACCCCCCTCCACATGGCACAAAACTAGTGCCACAAACTTAGGGTCCAAGGGTCCAAAATGGCCTGTTTTTTAATAAGCTGTACAAATCAATAAGTTTTGCTTCTTACAGCTATAAAACAGTATAAGTATCAGTAACTCCCCAGCTGAGCCCAGAGTCCTTCTCTCTTCCACTGTGTAAAGCCTCCATCCCAGATTCCTAGAAAATGGTCTGCTTTGGATGCGGCTTATCGATGCATTGTTGGACTCCGCAGAGCACTGAGCCGATGGGACGAGCATTAAAGTTGACCCAAGACTGCAAGATCCTGTGGGACAGGGTCCCTGTGCAAATAGGACACGCTGCACCCAGCGAATGAATCTGATTAGACCTGTCATTTTTTCCCTTTACCATTACCCATGGACATAGTTGACATTCAAACTTGTCATTTCTTATTGGTATATTTCTGCAGTTTTCCTGGTATTTGTGTTTTGTGTGATGCATTCATGTATCTCACTGCACTGAGTGCCCTGGGGATGGTAGACCTTCAATTCTATTACCCAAGGAGCAGAATATCAGCTGGGTGAAAGTGAGTTCAAACGTACAGTTCCACCACACACATGCCACATGCACACACACACTCATACTATCTGTCACATCTAGGCTTACGGCTTGTTTATTTAATTGTACTAGTATGTGATACTACGATCGATACTGACCGTCTTTTACAGCATTATATAATGTAGTGGCACATAGAAGTGCAATCATTACTTCTTAATATAAAGCCTATATTACAGATAAAAGCCTCAAAATATTAAATTATTACCAGTCAAAATAAAACTGTTATTTATAATGATACCTTTAGATTCCAGGGTTGTTCTGTGGAATGCGTCTGTTTCAGGATATAAATTCATAAGCTGTATTTTCTCCAGAAAATTACTCCTTTGTACAAGAATCCTGGGAAAAATATTCATACCGAAGCTCTGGAAGTTCAATTTAATAACCAAAACTTTCCATTTTGTTGACAGCTGCTTGACAATATTTTAGCTGTCCTAAGGCAATACGTTACCCGACATCGCTAAAAGTATCCGTATTGTACCAAACTGAATTTCGTTCATTGCACTATAGGCCTATCTGAAGGTTGCATACGAGTTATTATAATAAACTGGCAACATTAGAAACAACAATAAACTCGTTAATATTTTTCTCGGCCCGAGATACATCAAAAAATCTTTTTGATCGCGCATTATACTATGCTACTTTCTTCTCTGCACAACTGCGCTCGGCTGTACGGATGTCACCCGCGGAATATAAGCAATAAAAAAGTTCTGACGAAGCGGGACATAGAGGCTTTCTTGGTGCGTGAGGTCTCACCGTAAGTGCAGAAAACTTCTGTGCTTGTCCAGCGTAGATTAAGAACAGCAGAGCCAGGAGAGACGGGGAGCGCATCCTGACGGTCGGCTCACACCCCATGCACAGCACAATCCACAGTTCAGGGATCTCTTCTAGGACTGGGCTGCTTCTTTACTTCTTTTCAGAGCTTCTTTACTGCCGTTCAGGAATACGTCCCACTTTTCCACAGCCTTCCCGTTACGGTCTGCTGATTTTTGGTTTAAGGAGCGTGTCTTGTGTGACAAGCTCTCTCCTTTCTCAACCTTTGAAAAGCGTCTCTTCCCTCTGGCCCGTCTCAATGTGATACGTCAATATTCCTGGTTTGACTTTACTGACCTTTTTCCTCCCACTTACTCTTAAGTCTGTCTCCTTTTCTTCCCCGTCTTCTTTTTCTCCACACCCCCTCCCTATTTCGTATTTGTCAGACCAGATCTCTTATCGGATGCAGGCTGAGCCGTGTAGGTAGGTAGGTAAGTTTTGAAGGAATCTTTCAGCTGCTGGTAGCCAACAAAAACACAAAGGGTATTCCTTTATTTCACCCCTTTTGAAACTTTTTCCCCCATCCAGCACAGGTAATCCTTTTCTGTTCTGATCCCGATACCTTGTCAGATTTAGCGGATGAGAGGCAGGCTGCGCCCCGGACTGGGAGACAAGGGAAGCAGAAGAGGGAAAGACTAAGACCGAGAAAAGAAACAAGAGATTGATGTGCACCCGGCTAAGACTCCGACTCAGCCCTAAAAAACTTTGCTTAGTCTCACGCACTCTCACTTAAATATTTTTTTAGTTTTCGGCAATGCTTGATATATTATAAGCTCTTTCAATCGTTCTTTTTATTGTTTACGTCACCCAAAGTAACATGATTAAGAAGTGTATTAGCCTATATGTTATTGCGAGTTACAATTCTTTCCAAAACTGTAACAATGAAATTTTGGAATAGATTAACTATAATTATATTGATAATTATAATGTTTTTGTAAACCGCAAGGAAGCCTTTAATGATGCCAACGCTTCTGTTTTATGGATTTATCAATTGCACAGGGTCGCTAGTACTTTGAGGTTGTTACACGAAATCGTAAAGTTTATCAATAAGACCTGCTTTCCAGTGTTTTGTGAGTCACTGTCAAACATTCTTCTGAGATGTGAGATACACTGGTGGTGTTAATTTGTTAAGCGAAGGGCACAGATCCCCAGTTAAATCCCAGGTCGACACCATGCACTCCATCCCTAGCCCGTTAACAAGCAATCAACCGCGTACTACTCCATTCAACCCAGTTTGGAAACTCAAGGAATATATACGGAGGCGGTCATGATTCAACCATTTCAATGCAGATCTATATTTCTAACACTTCCTAAGTTTGTGTTTATTTTTTATTTTTTTGGACGCCGAAGACAAAAAAGCGGTACATGTTCATATGTCCGTGCATTACATTAATCACTTTCAATCCTTCACATACCCAGATTGAATGCACTTCACTACGTTGCGATATTTTGATATTTTCTGTAATGGCATGTTTAGTCATTTTTGTTTATCATTATACTAAATATATGCAGCCACCTGGCAATAGTTTAGAAGAATTAAATTAAAGATCATAACTTTTTATTATAAGCATTCCTTAACTAACATGCAGTTATATTACTAATCCGTGCAGTTTGTTGTTGTTTTTCATTAATAGGTTTGCTCATTCCTTATCATATAAGGATTTCATTACGGCAAATATATTTCCACTTGGATATATCGTTAATATCTGCTGAAAAACGCAGACCCTCATCACCTAGTACACCTAACGAATAATTTGCACACATAGCTCCTTCGCATACTCAGTCCTTAATCCTAGTCATCCGATGATCTGACCATAAGTTTATGTCAGAGCTATCCATTATTTTTAATATGAGAATTAGTAAGAGTTTCTGTTATATATATAAAAGGAAAGAAATCGCACGGTATAAGAATGTAGCAGTAAATGATGAAGACGCTCAGCTGCAATGCGTTAACTACACAATACGTAACAGATGTCCGAGTCAGCCAGAGTTTCTGCCTCCCGTCACGAAACACCAAGCAATTACTTCCATCTGCTGGCGAGTATGTGTATTGCACTTACGGACACGGCGCAATAATGAACACCAGTCTATACTCGCTGCCCTAGCAAACTTCGGAGTGAAAGATTAAAAGTGTATAATAATAAAAGACAACAGGGTTATATCGTTTACAAACACTGGTCACGCACAAAACGAGGCAGGACATATCTATTGTCATTGGGTAATAAAATAAAATAATTTCATTCGTCTCTATATAAATAAAAATAACATTTTATTGATCCCCGTAGGGAAAGCACTTACTTAAAAAAAAACATTATTAATTCTACATAATTTAAATTTTACTCATTAGTCATGAGAGCAAATAATTATTAATTATATGGAATAGAATAGTCCCTAGAACTGGCAGTAGGTGCTAGGTCTCAGAAAGGTAATCACGACAAGTTTAATTTTACACTACTCGTTTTAAAAAATAAATTTTAAAATTTAAAAAATGATAAATAAAAATATGAAAATATATTGAATATAATATGAAAAATATTTACTTTGTTTAGCAGACGTTTTCCCCCCCAAAACGACGTACAAGTGAAGCAAATAGTGTATCACAGACATGCGGCTGTCGACTAGGCCTAATTGCAGCCAGGCTCAGCATGAGCTACACATCTTTCAAAAGAAGAAATAACCAAATAATATTCGAGTCAGCAAAAACAAAGTGCAGCATTCAATGTACACGGAGTGGTGTTTGGCGCGTTCATAAGCTTTTTGAATGTTAAACATATTGACATCTTCATCTGGATGGAGTCCTTGTGAATTCAGATTAATGTTTATTCGGCACGTCGTACGACTCGCAGGGAAACCATTCGCCTCCACGGACCTAAACGACGAAACCGTTCAGTAAAATACGCCACTATCCCGTCATGCACCTTTCAGTCCATCGCTATACCGGAAGTGCGTCTGGGATATCCCTTCCCTTCCGCTGCTGTTGAGAGTCGCGTGTCCTCGGGTGTAGCTTTGCATTTAATTTCTTGATAATTGAGCGTTCACGGAATTAAACACTATGTCCTACCCGACCGAGGAAGGCGACGGAGATGTTAGTATCCACATTGCCTGATTTGTTATTTAAATAGTTACAATTGTGAATTCTATGCCTAGTTAGAAATCGCCGGTTCAGCTTAGCGGGAAACACTCGCTGTCTATAATGTGACAGTGCATGATATTAATCCAAAGAAAACCTCTGTAACTGCCAAGATAAAACACATATTGATTCAGATGTTTTCAGTTGATGTTTTATTAGCTAATCGGGTTCACTTAATAGCTAATGATTGTTTAATAACAGAATCGTGCCTGGATGGCTGACTTGCTTCTAATAATCGAATACACATTCATTTCAACTGTTTCTGTCACCGAGTCTGATGTACTTTGAAACATGTTTTATACGCCGAATAACATCAGTAAATGGTCATTCAGGCGATTATATTTAGTGTGATCGGTGACAGTATGCAGTCTATTGAAATTAACCCATTGTTTCGGTTGTCCTTTATTGACAGTACGAGGTGTACCCATATTCCAGCGACTACGATTTGCATACAGGTTGGTAGCTATTTTAAACCACACCAATGGGCAAGCACCAGTTTTGCCGCCTTAATCGTCCAACGGCATGAATGCATTTAAGTCATTTTGTTTTCTTAGTACTTTGTGCAATGACTGCATGTTACTACCTTTTCAAAGATTTACTATTCAGACAAATGCTTAGGATTTACAGTCATAGCATTCTACATTTGTAATTGTAATTCTGTTTTATGCTCCTACTTCTGTCCTAATAGGTGACCCAAAAGCAGACCTTGCCTATGAACGTCAATATGAGCAGCAGACTTACCACGTCATTCCAGAGGTCATCAAGAACTTCCTGCAGTACTTCCACAAGACCATCTCTGACCTGATTGATCAGAAGGTGTATGAACTGCAAGCCAATCGAGTGTCCAGTGAGAGTATTGAGCAGAAGATATATGAGATCCAGGATGTCTATGAGAACAGGTAATTGTTGCTTTGCTTGGCAGAGAATTAGTATTTCATTTTAGGAGAGATGGTGCTGTTAGGTTGTGGTTAAGTACCATTACAGGCCTTGTCAGTATGTATGTACATAGTGATTTATCTGTACCAATATTACACAATGGCACAAGTGATGAGAACAGGTCTAAGCTGCTGCATGAACACCACTTCCAACCAAAAAGCCAACATAACAGCATTGAGGTGGTGATCATTAAGCTTTTGTTTCCTTCTATAGCTGGAACAAGCTGACGGATCGTTTCTTCAAGACGTCACCCTGGCCGGAGGCAGAAGCAATAGCTTCTCTGGTGGGCAATGGTGAGCCTTGGCCTTTTCAGAAATGAGTGATCAAAATATCGAATTAATGGGACTTTACCCTGCAGGCCCACAGTGCCAACTAACCAGGACTAAAACATCATTATGGGCTCTTAATTCAAAAAAAGAACCCCAGAGACAGATGGTCTTACAAAATGATGTTTTTAGTCACTATCTGTCACCCTCTCTTCACAGATGCTGTGTTTTTAATCCTGTACAAGGAGCTATATTACAGACACATCTATGCCAAAGTCAGCGTAAGTCCCCCCTGGCATTGTGCTTGTTAAAAACATAAAATTATCTAGTTCTCACCGAATTCTTTGTAAACTTTCACACACTTCAGAGCTATAGGATTTATACAGCATATCCATTCCCTTTCCATAACTGCTGAATATATCAGTTCTGTTTTTGGTGTACAAGGTAAGAAAGGTTAAATGGCCTGATTTCATTGTACATTGAGTTGTTAGATATGTTACTTCTAATACATTCACCTTGCTTCTGATTTGTTTTGAGCTCAACCAAAGAATGAATTTACTCCATTACAGCTAGGTTACCTTGAATGTGTTTTTGTTCTTCTCCTTGATTCCAGGGTGGACCAACCCTTGACCAGAGGTTTGAGTCATACTACAATTATTGTAACCTCTTCAACTACATTTTGAGTAAGCAATTTTTATAACACTTTTTATTCTGCTTGTCTTTTGTGGGTAGCCTCTGTAGATAAGTCATTATTTTATGCCATTTTTTTGCTTATTGGTTTCCCTGTCTTAATAATTTCACTTGAAGGGTATGGGGTAACTTAGTGAAGGTCTTCTGCCATTTAAATCTCATAGATGCAGATGGCCCTGCCCCATTGGAGCTCCCCAATCAGTGGCTATGGGACATAATCGACGAGTTCATCTATCAGTTCCAATCCTTCAGTCAGTATCGTTGTAAGACGGCAAAGAAGTCGGAGGAGGAGATCGAGTTTCTGAGGAACAACCCGAAGATCTGGAATGTCCACAGTGTCCTAAATGTGCTCCATTCGCTTGTGGACAAGAGCAACATCAACCGTCAACTAGAAGTGTACACCAGCGGCGGTAAGAGGTTTGGGCAAGTGCTACCGGAGTCTGGGTACAGTGGGCTAGAGGTCATTTGAATGTTTAGAAAGAAATGGTGAACAGGTTACTTATAACTTGGCGCTAGATCTGCCCTTCTCTTCCATCCTGGTTAGTGAGGAGAAAGTCATTCCTCTCCACTATGTTTAGCATTTAAGTTGCTTTCAGTGATCCTCAAGAAGTGGATCATGGAGAGTCAAGCCCCCTTTCTGACTTCTGTTTCTGTTGACTGGGTGTGTTTCAGGGGATCCAGAGAGTGTGGCCGGCGAGTATGGCCGGCATTCACTGTACAAGATGTTGGGCTACTTCAGCCTGGTGGGTCTGCTGCGCCTGCACTCACTCCTGGGGGACTATTACCAGGCCATTAAGGTGCTGGAGAACATTGAGCTGAACAAGAAGGTATGGCTTCTCCATAATGACTCCATCACAAGCCTACATTTGTCTGTTTGGTGTCCTTGTCCTGTTTAGTGTCATTCTTCATGAATGCAAATAAAGCATTGCTGGAGGGTTGTGTTTTCAGTTTGCAGCTTCAGTGTTGTTCATTTAAGGGTGGCCCACTGTGGGCACATGCTTGTGTCTCAGTCTTTCTGTGTAGGCAACAGCTAATCTTCCTGTCTCTTTATTGGATACAGAGTATGTACTCTCGTGTGCCTGAGTGTCAGATCACCACCTACTACTATGTTGGCTTTGCCTACCTGATGATGCGCCGCTACCAGGATGCCATCCGTGTCTTTGCCAACATTCTGCTCTACATCCAGAGGACCAGGAACATGTTCCAGAGGTCCACCTACAAATACGAGATGGTCAGTTATCCATGGTTGCTGCTGCCAAGGTGGAACTAAATATGAGAATTTTGCTATTGATTCCAGTTATTGGAAATGTTTTGACCTTCAGCACCTTTAGGGTAGAAGGTGTTGAAGGGAGAGATTTTGATGATCACCCTCTAGAAAGCAGCTTTCTATCGGAAGACCCAGTTTAACTTGCACACAAACACTCAAGTGTGGCTAAAAAGCTGCCTCTGCTGTGTTTGCTGCAGATTAACAAGCAGAATGAACAGATGCACGGTCTCCTGGCCATTGCTCTGACCATGTACCCAATGCGTATCGACGAGAGCATCCACACCCAGCTACGCGAGAAGTATGGGGACAAGATGCTGCGCATGCAGAAAGGGTGAGCGCAGCTCGCTGACACTGGGGTCCTGATGGGGGCAACAGAGTGATTTGATTACTACATGTGCCAAGGTTTTTTTCCTGTAACCATGGACTCTGTAAAAGGTATTGCTGTTGGAGCATTCAGCAGTGCGTCGCAGGGTTAAGTGACAAAATTCAACATCATATCCCCTATTTTACTCAAAACCTTTGATTTCATGTGAACCAAATCTTAGTCGATGCACTAGATGATCCCACCCACATTGAGCGCATGTGGTAAATGTGTGATTGATGACAGTTGGCTGCTCTTGTCACTGCCGCCACCAGAGACCTGCAGGTGTTTGAAGAGCTCTTCAGCTTTGCCTGTCCCAAATTCCTGTCCCCCGTGGTGCCCAACTACGAAAACGTCCACCCAAACTACCACAAAGAACCCTTTCAGCAACAGCTCAAGGTGTTTGCAGAGGAGGTGCAACAGCAGGCCCAGCTGTCTACGATCCGCAGGTATTGCCGCATGGCAATTTTTTTTGTCTAGTAATAAAATTTATCTGAACTGCTTCAGGCAAACTCCATGTTTCCTGTGTGTTTTTATTTTTGCACTTTCTGTTGATTTAAGTAGTTCTCTTTGGATTCTTGATCTTCTTGAAATGTGTTGTACTACTCCAATATTGCTTACACTTGTACCTGGACATTCAATGGTAGGTCAGCTGCACTTAAACATAGTTGACTCCTTAACTGCACATATGTTTGTAAATTGCTATTTACTTAATTTGAGTGTTGCTCTGGACAAAAGCATCTGATGAATGAATGAATGAATTAATGAGTTATGCCTAAGTGTCAGTCTATACGGTACCACAGATTCCAGTTCTGTTTACTGACTCAGGTCTTTAACCACACTTATCTGCTTCTCTCACTGCCCCCTACTCCCACCATCCCTGTTCCAGTTTTCTCAAGTTGTACACCACTATGCCAGTGGCCAAACTTGCCGGCTTCCTGGACATGTCTGAGCAGGAGTTTCGCATCCAGCTGCTGGTCTTCAAGCATAAGATGAAGAACCTGGTCTGGACCAGTGGCATTTCGGCCCTGGATGGGGAGTTCCAGTCTGCCTCCGAGGTTGACTTCTATATCGATAAGGTAAGTGTACGCACTTGATCTGCCGGCCACTGCTGATTGTCTGCAGTACCCCAGTCCAAAAAGACTGAGAAATAAGCACGTATCACCAAATGATGAGAACAAACGGTTCAACTGCTATCTCTTGCAGGACATGATCCATATTGCGGACACCAAAGTTGCCCGTCGTTATGGGGACTTTTTTATTCGCCAGATTCACAAGTTTGAGGAGGTGAGAAAAGGTTTATATAGTCAAGCTAAATGTCTTTTCATCTATAGTCACCAACTAGTTGAGGTTCTTGTGGGTAATGTTTAAAGAAAAGCACGAGGAACATTATTTTACTTTGGGACCTTGGTGGTTACTATTTCCACAGCCCAACTGAGGTAGTTTTGCATTAGGCATCTGCTAACATTATTCTTCAAACAAAACATAACCTTGTGTGTGTTCAGGCTTGGATACATTGAACAGTTTAAAAATTTGATGTCTTCAGTATCTATAATAATTTTTTTTTTATTTTTCTTTTCCTCACCCAGCTGAACCGAACTCTAAAGAAGATGTCCATGACGGGAGTATCAGGAAGCATAGGCTCAGCTGGCGGATCCAGCACCTCAAATCGCGCCACGTAATCCTGACATGTGGCCCACGCTGAACCGAACCTGCTTCTGAATAACAACCAAGTGTGGGTTCAACCTCGATTTATTGCTAATAGCTAGACCCCCTAAGCACATCCTTCTAATCCAGTTGGACGGCTATATAACCACACTGGGGAAATGATGACCTTTTTATGCAGCTGTGTGAAAACTAAATATTAATAATAAAAAACAATATGCTGAATATGTGTGTGCGCATATATGAGAGAGGCTGTCTGCGCACACACACACTGAGTTTAAGGGGCTGACATATGCAAATGTGGCGTGGTACTTTCATGAAAAAGACTTTTCCTGCACCATCTTAATTTAGACTACACTAACCACAAGTATGTGAAATGTAAACTTTCATTGAATATCTATATGCCTCTTCCCTGAACACTAAGAAGAGTTTCTAAACAAACTGAACTATTTACACCAGAGCTGCCCAACACTGCTCCTGGATGGGGTGGTTGATCTCCAGTGTTAGGCAGCCCTGGCGTAATTTATTAGAAGCCAAAACGTTCCAAAACTACTGATTTAAGTGATGTGGGATGATATTTGAGCTTTCTAGCACTAGTTGTAAGCAACTCAAAGCCACAATTTGCATAATGTTTTGTAGGTTGAACATCTAATTGTGCAGGTTGTCCCATGAACAAAAACCTCCATCACCATTAAAATGTCATTGGGTATGGAAGTGTTAAGACAGTAGGTGATATATAGAATCAAGAGCAGATTAAGCCAAATTTGGTAATTTCAAAATATATGCAGAAATAGGGTGAAAAAATTTATCAGCGCCTTTAAGAACAGCTTTACGCATACTATAAGAAACACAAGACAATGAAAAAATTTGCTGTACATAATCCACCTTTGAACTAGAGCTGTGCAATGTGTTTGATTGTTCATGGTTGTACATTATCAGTGTAAAAATGTAACAGTGGGTGTATACAGTAAAGCACAGCATAAGGCAGTTATATTAGAGCTGTGCAGTGTGTTTGTACATTATCAGTGTAGAAATGTAAACAGCTTACAGTGAGAGATCAGTGGGTGTATACAATAAAGCACAGCATAAGACAGTTATATTAGAGCTGTGCAGTGTGTTTGTACATTATCAGTGTAGAAATGTAAACAGCTTACTGTGAGAGATCAGTGGGTGTATACATTAAAGCCCAGTATAAGACAGTTCTTCCAATATTATGCGCCTCTGATATAGACATTGGCCGGTGCAGATGGTTGATAAACAGTTACCAGTTTAAGTGGTTCAATGGAATTCCAGGCACAAGTGCTGAGGTAGAAGTGTGATGAGGAGTCTGATGGCATGAGTTAATGTAGCAGAATCCAGTGGAGTTTGAATACTCCGGAATCTCCTTCCAGATGGGAGGGGTAAGAAAGGTGGTTGAGGATGTCTGTGGCCTTGTGGATTATCACGGATTCTTGGATGAATGGTTGAGGGGTCCTGATGATTTTGGGTATCCTTACTGATTTCAGCAGGGTACCGCATTCTGAAGCTCGACAGTTCCCATACCAGACTATGATACAGCTGGTCAGGATGCTCTCTCTTGCGTCCTTGTAGAATATTGTGAGGACTGTGGAAGAAAGGCTTGCTCTTCTCAGGAGACAGGGAGCTTGCAAGCGCTGTTGTGCTTTCTTGTGGAGGTGTTGAGTGTCCATGTGAGGTCCACAGGAATGTGCACTCTCAGGAACCTGGTTCTCTTGACAGACCCTACTGTGCATCCTGTGATGTATATGGGTGTGTTCAGGGTGGACCCCTGAAATCCACAATCATCTCTTTTGTTTTTTCTATGTTGGGCACCAGGCAGGGACATTTGCCAAGGTATCCAAGAGCCACTGATTCACAGGCCCAGAATTTTATAGGGGCAAAAGGTACCAAGGGGGGGCCAATATGACATTTTGTCAGGGGGCTCAGAATTTATAGCTATAACGCTGGAGCTGGGTTCTCGTTTTTGCACCATGCTACCAGCTGCTCCATTTCTTCTCTGTAAGCAGATTTGTCATTTTTGCTTAAAATCCAACCACTGTGGTATCATCTGTGAACTTGATGTGTTTGGAGCTGCAGGTGGAAGAGCAGTAGTTCGTCAGCAGAGTGAAGAGCAGTGGGTTGAGCACTCAGGCTAGTGTAGCACCAGTGCTCAGTGTGATGGTGCTGAAGAACCTGTCCCATATCTGGACACTCTGTGGTCTATCACTGAGAAAGTCTAGGATTCAATTGTAGAGTGTTGTGTTTATACCAGTTTGCATGTCCAGCTTGTTTCTAGTGTCTGCATAAGACTCCCCCAATAATGCAAGGGTAGTCATTTCCATGCACCATTTAGCCTCTTGGAGTAACCTAGCCTGTCGTCATCATTATGCCTTTAATTATTTAGCTCAATTTAACTACTATGATTCCTCTATCTCCATATAATCATTCTTAAAACAAAGATTCACTCAATGACTTAGTCACATCATCTTACATAATACAATATGAATACATTATTGTTACAGATGCAGGGCATGGTACAGGCAGAAAAAGAGGGTGACAATCCACTTGTGGCTCCAGGAGACAACAGGAGTTTATTGGGGAAACCAGAAAGAACACTGGGGAAAAGTACCAAAACAAAAGGACCACAAGGGGTCAGAAAACAAACAGGAAAAATACGGAATTAACTAAAACCATGAAACAAAGCATAGCTAAGGAATAAGCAAAAACACAGGCAATAGACCTCAGTAGTAGAGCAGAAAAACAAACACAGTAACATGAATATAACAATGACCAAAATGACAAACCGAGTTAGAGCAGATAGTTAAATACACAGAAGGCATCAGGGCAAAGAGAGGACAGGTGTAACTTGTAATCAATTCAATCAAAGGGAATTACAGATTAACTAGAAACAGGTTGGTTGGATTAAAATTAATCACAGAACAAGGGAACCCCAAACTCTGAACACTATGAAACACTGAAAGCTAACAGTACCAGGAATAACTAAGAACCAAAGAACCTGCAAACATAACAAGACACAAGCATGATAAACCAAAACAGTAACAAGGATAAATCATAAAACAGGGTTATTAAAATCACAGTCCTCGAGGTCCGAGCCCTGCTGGTTTTCCAGCCTTCCTTTACCTGTCAGTCAGGTGTGAAGCCTCTGACCAATCAGAATCAATAATTATTAAACTAAGTACCTGGGAGACCTGAAAACAAGGCCTGGACTTGGAATCGAGGTCCAGACTTGAAGAACTCTGCCATAAAAGATAAACTGAAAAAGCAAAAGCTAAGGTTAAACTAAAACCCCCAAAAAATAACAAATGGTAAGGCAGGATGACCAGCAATACCTGCAGGCCAATTGGGGAAGAGACACGAAGACCAATCAGACCCTGACTGTACCCCTCCCCAAACTGGTACTGCCAAGGCCACAAAGGGATGACAGAACCAGAACCACAGTATGTAACAGGAGAATAACGGGTAAGACGGTACAGACCCTGATACATCATATTTTTTATGAACATGTGTGTTTTGAGTAGGGTTCAATGATATTGCAAAAATATTGTGATATTTGAAGTTTTGCAGTACAGTGGTACCTCAGTTCTCGAACTCATTAGAACTTGAATTTCTTAAAAGTTGAACCAAC